GGAGGAGGAGGAGGAGGAGGAGACATCTCAAGTCCTTTCGTGCTCACTTGCTGCGATCTCAGGCTCGGAGGACATGGATGTTGACGCCTTATCCAAGGAGAAGCAGGAGGGACCTCCGCCGCTCAGGCTCAAGAAGTCGCAGAGGTTCTACTACAGCAAGATTCCTCGCAAGCTCAACTTCATCTCGCGGCTGCTCGAGACGCTGACCAAGGACAAAAATGGAAGTTTCATGTCCGAGGGCGGCGACTTCCTCGCAGACGAGGACAACGCGAGGAGGGTTGTGAACCCGATGGACCTGACGCTCGTCCGCTACTCCATGGAGCTGGGGATCTACAGCAGCTCTCTGCAGGTCGACTCTGACATCCGCCTCGCCCTCCGCAACGCCGTGACCAACTTCAAGTACGGCTCGCGCGAGTACGACATGGTGCAGAACCTGCAGAGGATTGTCGATACGTCGATGATGAAAGTCAAGTCAGCGGTGAACCAGAGCTACGGGGAGACAGGCGAGGATGTCCCGCTCTCCGTCCCCCAGTACCTCGAGGCTGCCAAAGAGCTTGTGGACAAGTCCACTAACCGTCCTCACTGCCGCATGCTCCTCTCGCCGGTGCGGCCGCTGGAGGACGGCTGCTCAGACTACCTCGACGTGATCCGCGAGCCGATGGACTTGGGGACGATCAGGCACAGGCTTGAGACGGGGAACTTTTACGAGACCATGGGAGACGTCGCAGCCGACATGCGGCTCACGTTCAAGAACGCGCTCATGTACAACGAGGAGGGAAGCACAATCTTCAAGTGGGCGAGCGATGCGATGCAGATGTTCGAGACGGACCTCAAGGAGACGCTGGACGCCTGTCACAGCAAGAACCTCCAGCCCCAAGACGCTGGGGGCTCGCAGGATTCGCAGGAGAAGAGGGACGAAGCGTCGGCTGACTCGGCTGCTGCCTCCGAGAGGATCTGCATGGACCCTCCCCAGGTGGTGCCGCTGGCCCTGCAACACCTGATAGAGCAGAGGAAGCACAAGACCAACTGGGTCTCTTCCTTCGACGAATTCTGCGCGCTGCCAAACGGCTGGCAGGTCGTGCTGGACGAGAGGACGCAGAAGCTCTACTACTGGAACAGAGGGTCCAACATGACGACATGGGAGCAGCCCAAGATGCCCATGGTGGTCGAGTCCAAGGCAGAGGACGGAGAGAAGAAGAAGTACTTCTGCCCCATCTTCGGCTGCTGGAGGCCGTTGGAGGTGAGATCTGACATCCTCCTCTTCCTCTTCCCGCTCCCCTGCTCCTTCCCTCCTCTCTCCATCGCTCCCCTTGCAACTGCTGACAGACTTGAAGGTCCCCGACCAGCTTGCGTGCTTGAGGTATGGGGGAGCAGGGAACCGGACGCAGTCTCAGTCGCAGTCGAACGCAGTGAGAGACAAGAGGGGAGAGGAGGAGGCGGCAAGTGACGGCAACTCTTGTCAGGCCCAGCAGTCTCGTGCCTCCTTCCCTGGTTCGTTGCCAGCTGGTTCGTTTTCGGGGGGGATGTTGCCGACTCTAGCGAGCATGGCACCTCGTCCTGTGGTGAGAGGAGGAGAGGAGGAGGCGAGGAGTACCTGACGCAGCGAGCAGACAACCTCTTCCATGCTGCCCTATCAGCAGCAGTCGCAAGGCTTGCAGTACATGTGAGGCTTGGCGGGAAGGAGAGCTACCGGAGCTTGAGGGGGGGAGAGAAGGAGAGCGGCTGAAGGAGGAACAAGGAGGAGAGGAGGAGAGGGCAGTGGAGCAGAATAGTTTACAGAGTATACAGGCATGTCTCGAGCGAGGACCCTCAGGAGAACCACACGATGTCGCTGAAGGGATGGTTCCTAGACTGCTGGCTGTTCCATCCGTACCCCTCCCACTCCGCCTCAGAGCTCGCGCTCTCCTTCTGCTGCGCCACCTCGAGATGTTCGAGCTCGACCAGCTTGCGGCTGTTGGAGAAAATCCTCCAGTTGGGGTTCAACGCTACCGAAGCTGCGCAAACTTGTCACTCCCTGTGTGCTCCTCCTCCTCTTCTGCTCTATGACCATCCAACAATCGTTCCCTATCTTCCTTTCCCTCCCACTCTCCCTCCCTCCTTCCCTCCCTCTCACTTCGTTCCCTCCCTTGCTCTGAACCCTCTCACGTACCTGTGTGAGGGTTCGAGAAGCCCAGGTTGCGGAGGATGCGATCGATCTTGGCGGGGATGCCGTGATTCGTTTTGACGTGATCCCCTCCCACCAGCCCCACCAGCTGCACGTCAGGGTTCTTGAGGAGAAACCTGCGGCCGAAGTCAGCAGGCGCCTGCCCATCATGTTGCTCCTCACTTGGCCGCTGCCGACGCCATGGTCTCGTCCCACAAGATCCTGTTGGCCACGAAGTTCTGGAAGGTCTTGGCATCGTTGTTGTAGATCCCCATGTTGACATGCGCGTCGAAGCTGGGCTTCAGCACGGACCTGACGTACCTGTCCGAGCTGTCACGAGGCAGGAGGAGAGGAAGAGGAGGACGGGGAAGGGGCGATGGGGTAAGATAAGGACGCGGACGGGGAAGGGGGACGGGGAGTCGCACGAGGGGAAGGTCTTGGAGAGGCTCTCTTGCACGAAACCATTCGGGTCGATGATCAACCTCCTCCGCTCCTCGCTGGAAAGTGAGACCAGACCTGTGTGAGTGGGGTGAGGGATCGAAGCCTGCTGCTCGTAGGAGGGAGGAGGAGCACCTTGCTGCTGCACCTTGCTGGTAGTCTCGGCCTCGACGTTGAGAGCTAGCAGAGGAATCCTACCGGCACATCAGTGCAGGAGACAGCACCACAACCGTCTCACTTGTGCAGCTGGCAGTACTGCAAGACCGGGAGGTATGCTTTGAAGTTCCACCCCCATCGGTCGTTCCACTCGGTCTTCTCGAACAGCAGCGAGTCCGAACCTTTGCTGGGCACGGCTGAGAACACATACCTGCGACAGCTCTCAGCACCCACAGCACAACCCACGTCCTCCCACCAGTCGAGGACTTGCTGGAACGGTTGCTGTACCATCTCCAGTCCGACGACCACGCGGCCCCTGCGCTCGTGGAGTTCCTTCAAGATCCTCGTTGCAAGCTTCTTGTCCTTGAACGAATCGTGAGATTCGCCGAAGAAGACTGCATTGCGCCGCGAGAGGTATCGGAGAGCTCCCTCGCTGTTCGTCTTCACCATCTGCTCGCCTCTAAAAGTGAAGATCATGTCGTCTCGCAGGTCCTCCTCCCCAATCAAGGCCTGCTCTTGTGACAGAATGTACGAGGCGCCTGCATCGAGCTGATTGCGAGACAAGGGCATGTTCGAAGCGTCGCTGATCAAGTCTTGCGCTTGTTCGGCAAAGACGTCGGGCACGAAACACCCTGCAACATTGAGGGCAAAGGCTCCAGCAAGAACATCTCTCCTCTGCATTCTGCCGTCGGAATGCGTCATGCACACATTCGAAGCTGCGGCATAGCGCGCCCTCGGCACCCCACAAACTTTCAGAGGCGCGCGTGGGTTGGAGCACGACAGGGGCAAGTTTGGGGCATAGCATGCCTTGTTCCTTGGCTTCCACTGAAGCTGCGGGGCAGCATTCACTGACTCAGAGCATGACGCTCCTGATGAGGCCATTACTCCTGCTCCTGATGCCATTGCTGCTGCGCTCACTGCGCATGGAAGGCTCAGCAGGAGCCAGATTGCCTTCATGCCCTGCCGACCTGCCATAGCTGCGCACCGCTACCCTGTACCCCCACCCCCTACACACTACATGTACCCCACAAAATGAGAAGTGACTTCAGAGTACCCCTACATTTACCTTTTCTAGTACCCCACATGTGTTTTAATTTGTACTACCCCACCCACAAAATGAAATCCCTGCCCCAGTCACCCATTCAACACTGCCTAGCACGGCACACCCCCTTTTCCTGAGCTACCCCCACCCCCATTCCGTACAAAAATCAGGAGCACCGGTGACTGTTTTACACCTTTCTGATCACCCCTACCCCTATTTCCATAACATATCACCCACCCTTGAGAGACTAAGATGTGCCGAATTGTAGTCCTGTATGTATTTTAGGGGGTAGTGGCATCAACAATTTTAACGCAATGAGGGACAGGGGGTGGGGTGCTGTCAGGGGTACGAGAGGGGAGGCGGGCAATGAAGAACGTTTCAACGTATTTACAACGGTTCTGTAACCGTCAGAGAGCGGCTGCATGGATCCGGGAGCGTCGTTTCTGAGGAGGGGGGCGACGGCGCCGTCGCTGCTCCTGTCTGCCTTCCAACGAGCAAGGTCACCTCCCTCACATTCACCTCTCCCTCCCCTCCACCCATTCCCTCGCCTACTCTCCCTCCCTTCTCCTCCTCTCCCTCCCCTCGCCTCCCCTCGCCTCCCCTCCCTCCTCCCCCCATCCACTCTCCTCCTCCCCATCCCCTCTCCTCCTCCTCCCCATCCCCTCTCCTCCTCCTCCCCATCCCCTCTCCTCCTCTCCCCATCTCATCCCTCACCTCGCTTTGCCTTCCCTCCTTCCCTCCTCTCTTCCCCTCACCTTGCCAACCCCCTCCCCTTTTCTCCCTCCCCTCCCCTTTGCCCCCCGCCTCTCCTCTCCCCCCTGGTTGATCATGCCTTGCGCCCTTGGAGGGTTCCGCCATTCCCTCCATATTTTGGTCGGAGACTCCTGCTCTGACGGGGATGCATCTTCAGCCGACCAGACAGGGCAGATAGAGGGCTGTTCGGCGGGAAAAAGATCGGGTTTGGAAACAACGTCTCGTTCTCCGAGCGCAAGTAAGGGAGGGTAGGGTGCGAGTCATAAGCCTGACTATCTCGTAGGACTCGTCGAACTTGGATGCCCAACGTTCAGCAGAAGAGGTTATGGAGCGATTGCTTTGACACTATGATCAAGCTGCGCATCACCACATCGGTTCTCAAGACCATCGACAAGCATGGAGGGCTAGACAACTACCTTGTCAACACAGCCGACGTGAAGCTCGACTCGGCGTTGGGCGTAAAGCTCAAGCAGATGGTGTGATAGGAGCATGCGGGAACGCGTTTTCACCGATTGTTCTCATCGTTCTGCAGGTCATCGAGCAGAGGAGGAGGATTGCAGCCGGGGAGGAGCTGCTCGAGCCCCCCAAGACCTCGGACGCGTACAACGCGATGCAAAAAGCAAAGAAGCTGGCACAGTGAAGGCAGGAGACGTTCCCCTGTATGTCTTGAGGACTTGGAATGAAGGAAAGCTTGACACCTTCGCTCCCTGACAACCCGCCTATCAATGCCCCTCCTGTCAGCAGCTGTGATGATGGTCAAGAGATATGCGGGGTGTGATCGCCAGTATCGTCATATTTTATCGCCTGCTCGACCCTATTTCCTCTTCCGCCTCAAGTTGCCAAGGAGGGAAGAGAAGCGATGACACGATCAAGTCAGTGGAAGTGACAACTTGCTGCAAGGGCACTGCTGTATCATCGATTCCTTTTCGCCTCAAACTTGGCACTTTGTAGTTGTCTCATGCTACGACATATGATTGAGACGACCAGAACAGAAGTGAGAAGAGGAGCGAGTGTATTTCATCTTCGCAAACTAGTACCAACAGTACGGCAGCAGTAGCAGCGGCTGCGGCGGCATTGGTGATGGTGGTGATCGTGGTGGTGTTTGAAGTTGTAGAGAAAGCTGCTGCAATGGCCGTCTGCTTCACTGACACCCTACGTGATGTGTTCGGCTCCTGCCATTTGATCCTAGAATTGTGTTCTTCTGTCCACTCCTCTGCTTTTTTCTTTAGCTCGCCTGCTCCCCTCTCCTGCCCTGCTGCCCTGCTGCCCTGCTGCCCTGCTGCCCTGCTGCCCTGCTGCCCTGCTGCCCTGCTGCCCTGCTGCTCTCTTCTCTTCCTCTCTCTCTCTCTTCTCCTCTTCTCTCTCTTCTCTTCTCTCTCTTCTCTTCTTCTCTTGCAAGCTTTCTTACGCTGACCCGTCGGAGTTTTGGCGAACAGCCGAATTGAAACACATTTTGTGGGGTAGGGGTGCATATGAGTAGGGGTACCTTGAACAATGGAGGGGTACAACTCACTCGCAATTTCATTTATCCCCTCCAATAGCCATGAAATATCATAATATCAGAGGGGTCATAATGGACCTTGAGGGAGGATACAGCTTATTTGTGAGGATATTGTCCTTATCAGGGGTAGGGTCATCCTTGTTGTCAGAGGGATGTGCAGGGTGTTCGTGCCGGGCCATTTTGACTGGCTGCTATGGGGAACGCTCCATGCTGCAACCCAACGAGGTGAGGGGAGGAGGAGGAGAGGAGGAAGAGGAGAAGGAGATGAGGGTCATGGAGGAGGATACGAGGATAGGAGAAGATTCAGGGGGAGGAGGAGGAGATCACCGTGCCTAGAGTTGAGCTCCAAATGAGAAACTGGGGATAACGAGAAGAACACAAATAGTAGGGATTCAGGCGAGAAAGAGAAGAAGTTAAAGAGAGAGCACAAGGGTCAAGACGAGCATGAGTGAAGTTAGACAGATTCAAAACGATGGGGGAGGATGTTGAGAGATAAGGGGGAGCTACTAGGTTCAAACCATGAGGCGTATTCCTACAAGACATCACATACAACATCAGCAGGCCGAGCACCACGGAAACACGCGTGCAAAAAACTCGCTCACGACTTGACTCCTTCACAGGGCAAGCTTCGAGGCCGAGACGACCATGGCAGTAGAAGGAGAGACGGTGCTGGATAGGATGCAGCAGGAGAAGATCAGAGCTAAGTTGATGAGCCAGAGGGCAGACGAGGTGCATCAGAGGCAGCACGAGGAGATCATAAGGGTGCTCGATAAGTTTGAGAGCTCGAGCGCTGAGAGAAGGAGCAGCTTCCTAAATGCCTTGTCTCCTGCTCAGCGTCAAGAGTTCTTGCGACTCTACGACGAGAAGCGCCGGAGGCCATAGCTGCTGCTGCTCCTCCTCCTCCTCCTCCTCCATGAATCTCCCCCCCCCCCCCCTACCTGGAGTATTTCCTCCTCCTTCTCTTCTCTCATTGCTTCTACTCATCATTCCATCCTTCTCTCCCACCTCGCTCCCTTCCTTGTTGCTTGCCCCTTAACTTCCGGCTTCTCAATTTCTCTTTTACATTCGACTAGAACCTGTCTGTCTTTGAAACTGTTTCTTCTGGTCTCCATCACTCCCTTCCCCTGTTCTTTTCCCATCATCTCCCTTCCTCATCCATGGAGGAGAAGACTCCTCCTACTGGCTCCCGTCTTCCTCTTCCTCCTGCTTGCCCACGGCTCCACGACGATGCTACGCCTCGTCTTCGATCTCATCCTTCCTTTCGACGCGCTTCGCTTCTGCCTCTCCCAATCAAGATCACCGCGCTTGTTTGTTGTTGCTGCCCCTGCTGCTCGTCTTCTCTTGTGAGCGAGAGAGCATGCGGCATCTCCTGTGCCTAGGACGCGCTCGCTTGCTCTTGCTGGAACTCCTTCTGCGCTTTCATGGTTGGAGCAGCAAGAGGAGGCGAGGAGTATGAAGGGAGACAGGAGGGCAAGGGACAAGGGTCGGGAGGAGGGAGGAACCATAGAAGGGGAGGAAGGCAGGGGGAAAGGAAGGAAGAGGAAGGAGGAACGAGTGAGCGGGGGCGGGGAGCAGCACCTGGGCTGTCTCTAGGCTCGCCTTCAAGTCTTCGTCGGTAAGGTCTCGCCGTTTCCGCACCTGCACCAGAAAAATGTGAAAGGAGGGAGGGCGAAGACGCGAGGGGAGAGGGGGAAAGAGAAGACGCGACGGGGAGGGAAGAAGGCAAGGAGAGGAGCGGAAAGGGAGCACAAGGGAGAGCTTCGAGTCCTCATTCACCTCCTCCATGTCGTCTACGTAGTCGGTCGTCACGTCCTCGCACCGGCCCCTGCTCGGTGTCAGCAGGAGGGAGAGAGCTGGAGGCTCGTTGGACCGGACGAAGGCGATGATGTAGGTGAGCTTCTTGCCCCAGGAGAGGTACATCTTCTGCCAGGATAGTCAGCGGAAGGAAGGAAGCAGCCACCAAAACAGTTGGGGGACGGGGAATGGGAGGGGGGGAGCGGGGGAGGGAGGGAGGGAGGGGAGCGGGGGAGGGAAGGAGGGGAGCGGGGGAGGGAGGGAGGGAGGGAGGGAGGGAGGGAGGGAGGGAGGGAGGGAGGGAGGGAGGTGTTTTTGTGTGATAGTAGAAAGAAGGGACTGACGACCATGCAGGCGCGACGAGGGGTGGAGGAGGAGCAGGAGCTGACTAATCGCATGCTGGCAAGTCTCGAGCTCGACTACTTCAACCTGCAGCAGGCGAGGGAGGAGGAGAAGCTGCGCGTGACTCTCCTCTCATCCGCTTCTGTGCTGAGCTGGCTGGTGGCTGAGGAGGAGAAGGAGGAGGAGAGGGGGAGGAGTAGGAAGTTGCTGGTGCTGCCTCATGTCCTTCTCTCTCGAATGGCTCGTTTTCGTTTCCTCCTGCCGCTGTGGAGCGAGTGGAGGCGAGGGAGGAGGAGAAAGCTCTGTCTGCGAGGAAGGGAGCGAAAGCTTCTCCTCCTCCTCCTCCGAGCTTCCTGGGACTGCTGGGCTGAAGCGACCCGGGAGGAGAAGTTCAGCAGTGAACGAGCTGAAGTCCAGCTGCAGAGCTCGAACGCGATTCGCCTGCTACAAGGTGGAGAGAAATCGAGCGAACAGGAGGAGGGGAAGGAGGAGAAAGAGGAGGAGAATGAGGAAGGGGGTGGAGAGGAGGAGGGTTGTGTGGTGGTGGGTAGGGATACGAGGAGGAAGTGCCGTGGGAGGCGATTGAGTGACACGAGGAGCAGGAGCAGTTGCGAGGCTGACAGAAGCGAAGGAGACGAGCGAGAGGGAGAGAAAACTAGCGCAGGGGGAGGAGAGGCGGCTGGTGGCGAAGCTCAAGGCGTCGGAGGATCGCGTGCTGATGTTGGAAGAGGCACTGAGAGCTACGAAAGAAAAGGAGACGGCAGAGGTGAGAGAAGGAGGAGAGGGGACATGTTGCTTGACTTGCCTCTAGGTGTTGTTTCAGAAAGCTGCCGACAAGGTGAGGGGGAGTGAAGAGGGAAGAGGGAAGAGGAGAGAGGGGAGGGGGAGGGGAAGGTGAGGCCTCGACCTCGTAGGGTAAGGATCACGACCTCCCCTGCCTCCGCATCCTGGGAGAGGCAGAAGAAGGAGGGGGGGAGAGGTCCAAGCCTCAGTCTGGTACGCTTGCGCGGGGGAGGAGGAGAACCTGAACCAGTTCGAGTTCCGCCCTCGTCCTCCTCCTCCTCCTCCTCCTCCTCCTCCTCCTCCTCCTCTTCCTCTTCCTCCTCTTCCTCTGCTCCCGCTCCTCCTCCTCCTCCTCCTCCTCCTCTTCCTCCTCCTCTTCCTCCTCCTC